AAAAAGAAAAAGAAATGAAAATGATTTTAATGAAACCTATTCGTTCAGCATGAATAACTACCATCTAAGAAATGATTCTTATGAAACAGCTCACCACCCAAGAGTTTTAAAAATAATAATAAAATTCATACATGCACTATGTCAGCAGAATGTCATCCTTGTTATTATATTGCAACTCTCCAAGGCTATAATGTAATGGAAATAGCAAAAGAATGATTTCTGCAAGTTAATTTTAATAGAAAAAGAAAAACACCTGTAACAGCTCCTTTTCTCGTGAGGCTTTCCACTGTCGAAACTGTTCTGCCTCTTGTTTTATTTTATTTTGCAGTTGAACCTAAAACCTCAATATCAGAGAGAGAAGAAAAAGATAAGAGAGAAGGGGGATTTAGCAGCACATAGAAATAAGATGGGAGTACCTTTTGTGACTTTATAAATTGAATTTCCTCTTGTAATTTTTTTGCTGCTTCATCACTCTTCTGTTTCTGCTTTAAAAGTTGAACCTGGTTCTCTTGTTTTTTCTTAAGATCCAAAATCTGGTGCAATGGGGTTTAAATAATTGTTTACCAATCAGCCCTGCTCACCAACTGAATAAGACAAGGAATTTCGAATAAAACTTTTATTACCTGTGCCTCAAGTGCTTTTAGTTTCTGAGAATTGATATCCTGTAATTTTTGAGTTTGCCCATCAGAACTAGCAGCCAGGTTTTCAATTTCAGCCAATAAACGATCCCTCTCTTGCTGCAGCAAGAAAACCAGTTAGCTAATAAATCATAACATCTTTGAGGAGCGAAACTGTTAAGAATTAAAGAAACTTGCCTGTACAGCTCTTTTCTCGTCTTCCAATTCCTGAATTTTCTTTCCAAAATGTTGCTTAAGTGCAACAGTATGATCACCTCCAAAAAGCTTCATCTCGGACTGCTTGGAAGCTCAAACAGAAAATACAAACATGAACATAAAGTACAAGAATGTATGATTTGAACAATGAGAAGTGTTCATAAACTAATAGCAAAAATTTTGGACGTTCTTATAACAGAAGCTGCAGAGAATATAAGTTGACCATCCCTAAGCATATGGATACAGACAACCGAAAAGATGAACTGATGAAATTATCATATATACAAGGCATTGAAGCACATAAAAATATACCTCTTTCTCCTCTAAACGTCTATTCAAGTCATGCAACTCTTTGTCCATACTATTTTGCAAAAGTGTGTGCTCCCATTCTTTGCTTACGTCATCGTCACTTTCCCTGGAATCACCTGCTGGAAATGCAAATTATTTTCAAACTAAATCATTTTCAACTTAAGCAAATCAATCATGTCTATAAACACACACCAGAGAGAGAGAGAATGGATAGAATGAACAACATAAATAGGCTTGCAACAACCAAAAATGAAGCCTAGACATGGTGTTACTTATGAAGGATAATGATATACAGTATGTACTAGGAAGTCTATACCTATTACAGTTTCACTCATATGATAATCAGGTGACTCTATGCCTTGCAAGCTCCCCTTTAGTCCATCACTTTTGACAGAACAAGGACTGCCATCCTGTAATATGGTATTTCAAATTGATGTGTGTGGTAACCAAATACATAAAAGGAAATCTTAAGCATTAAAGTAAGAATCTCAAAAATGGTGTCCGTTGCATACTTGTGCATCTGTTTCACATTGCTCTATGACGGTGCATCTGCTTCGGTACTCATGGAGTTCTTGGCAGAGATCCTCATTAGCAGCTTCAAGCCAAGCAATTCTGTCCTTGAGGACCTACACAATTAGTTTCAGTAGTGAACTATGAATCTGATATAAACTACCCCCCGAAAACCATAAGACTGATTGACTTTATTAAAGCAAAGCAATTCATTCCTTGAGACCAGTAGAGCAAGCTTCTCCAATTCAACTTATGAATGAAAATAAATTATCACCAATAAAATTGCAAAGGAATTATTAAGTTTATTTGACAGATTAAAAGAACTTGGATACCTGCACTTCATCAGAGCCCCCACGTGCACAAAGTTCTGCCTGCAAATACTCTAGTTGTTGGCGCATCTTTAGCATCTCATTGGTCATAGGATCTCGGTTAACCTATAAATGCAGAGAGCTAACTCTTAGAAACAGCAATATACATTGCCTATATGTGACTGTTCAAAGGAAAAAAATAGAAATTTTCAAAGAAAGAAGAGTTGTTCTATGTACTTACAACAGGCTTGTTTTGGATATTGCGGGCACGATTCGCATACTTTAAAGTGTTAAGTGTTTCCTCAGCATTGATATCAGCTGGACTAATGCAGGCTGGTTAAAGAAAAACAAGAAAAGAAAAATCAAAAAACACTTTAAGAAAGCTATCTATGAGCAAAACTAAGATGGAAACAAAGTAGCAGAGAAGGAGAGGAAATCAAGTTATACGACAGACAGAATGCACTAAAATAGGCATTTAATACCACAATTGTACCACATGCAGAATGCAAGAAAAATCTGAGAAATGCTTTATAAGTAATCACTATAGAGCATATTTCTGACCCACTGAAGAAGTCAGCATGCACAAGCAAAGTTGTTAAGGCGTAATAAAAGGAATTGGAAATTATCCCTTTGAGAAATTTAGGATAAAACTTAAGGATAACATAAAGGTAATATTGTGGAATAAAGTCCAAAGTACCAAACCCATAACCAACACAATACAACACAATCTAGCCAAGTATCAAATTGTTAAGAAGGAATTACTGAGACAAAGAGCAAACAGAAAATGCCAACTTACCTATCATAATGGTTCTGCTGTTACCACCAAGTGAATCCTGACAAGATTATCACAGTTTAGGCATCCAAAATAACAACTAGATATAAAATAAAGAATTTAAGAAAAAAAAATAACATTAAAAAAGATGAAGTAATGAAGTTCCTTAAACCATTTATAGTGTTTCTAATATACTCCATCCTCCTCTTCATGTTACATGACCAATTTACATTAAAGTTGAAATATTAAGTCCAGGCAATCAAGCTCAAATAACTAAGAGCAGGGGACACATCAGTGATTGATGTGATGATTTTATCTAGTAATAGCCAGATGGAATGGCTTGAATTGTTTTAGGACAAAGCAAATGATAACTTTTCTATGCTATAAGAGGAGATAACTAAGCCACCACAACATGGATGTTAGGACTTCACAAACTGGTCACACCTGCAAAAGTCGTGTGAGTTTACTGTCTCGATATGGAACATGAACACCTTCTTTGCGCTTTTTTTCATCACCAAGTGCACTGATAACATTACCAAGAGCAAGAAGTCCCTTATTGATATGAACCCCTGTTAAACAAATAAAAAATACATTCATGATGGATCACATAAATGCATGCTTTAACACAAGGACAAGCAATATTACTAACCTTCCTTAAAACGCAACCCATCAGAACCTGTTCGTTTTGCTCGTTCAGATCCAGCAAGATCTACCAGATGCAACTTGGCACAGAGATAATCTTCATTCATAGTTTCAATGGGATTACCATCTCCGGAAACAACTGGATTGAGTTTCCGCATTTGCTCTAAGGTGATGGTGAAGATCGCATGTGAGCGACTATATGGACATACCAGAAATTAACAAATGTCACTATAGCAAGCAGTTACTACTTACGTTTTAACTCAACAATTCATTAATTGCAATATTTCAAACCAAGATTGGTAAATGAAAAGGATATAATAATTATAATATCTACTACACAGTGAAGATGTGTGTGTGTGTGTGTGTGTGTGTGTGTGTGTTTGGGGGGGGTTTCTAGAAGCAGGATTTAATTCTATTACATGTTCAGAAACCTGAGACCTTGCCTCATAATTTATATTCTATAAAAGTCTGAAGACCTAGGCCTTTTCAATATGCCAAGATAATATCATATGTAGCATCTATTCTACAGTGTTGAGGAAATGAAAAGTTACAATTTAAGAAGAAAATGACATGTCTATTTAACCTTGACTGATTGTTCATGTTTGTACTCCCTGTTGCCCTACTCAATGACCCTTGTTCAAGGCAAGCAGCCATTTCTTTCAGTGTACTGACACTAACTTCGGTAGATCCTGCCAGAGTAATAACTCCATTTGATGATTCACGTATTTGTATTGGTGGTTTTCCAGGCACAGTTACTTTCCCAGTATTTCCACTTGGACTATCTGCTTTGCTTGAAGAAGTAGGATCCAGCAAATCCCTCACTTCTTCTTTCAGAATCTTCCACATCAAAAAATTTTTAGTTAGATATAAATCAAACAACTCTCCAAAGCAAGGCGGCAATGCAAGGAGATAAACTACTAATGGCTTACTGATAGCATTACAAAACTAAATTTAGGGACAGCATATCTTAAAAACAACTAGAAAAAAATGCTTAGACAAACCTCAATAAATGAAACTTGCAACTGGAATTCTGTTTGATGTTTCAGAGTTTCAATCCTGCTGAACAAAGCATTCATAACTTGAGGAATGATTCCTGTTTGGTAACCATCTTTCAAGTTTGTACCCATTGTATATGTTTTACCAGATCCTGTCTGCAACAGAAAGAAAAAATAAAACTTCAATTACAAGAAAATAAGAGTGAAATGTTTAGCAGCTCTTCATAGAAACTAAGCCATACCTGGCCATAAGCAAGAACAGTAGCATTATATCCTTGGAATAAGCCATCAACCAGAGGAGCAACACATTCTTCAAACATAGCAGAGGGAGGAGTACCTGTGCTCCCATAGACATGATCAAAGGTAAAAGAATGTGCCCCTATTTGCACCTGCATTGCGATCAAAGCAAACATATATATTCTCAAAATACATATATGTTCTTGAAAGAAAAACCTAAAAATGTTATGCTTTCTCAAGAAATTCAACACCGGATATCCAATTTGAACATTCATCACTACAAAAATGTAGAATTTGCAGGAGCAGGTTGCAATCAGGGTAGCAATAAGAAGCAGGACTTCCTCATTGAATTTTGTTTCTCTTTATTTTCAACAAGAATCAGACTTGGCTAAAAATGAAAAATTCATCATCTAAAGTTTGCTTAATTATACATGATTTCCCCTTCTATGGTCAGAGTATATTCCTGGAACCAAGTTAATTATAGAAGAAAAACAAACGACTTTGCAATTCTGATCCAAATCAGACTGTGAAAATTCTAACTGATCAACCATCACCATTCTAAGATCCAGATCTCCATATACCATAGAATTCACCTAGGATAATCAATTATGATCGTACAAGCAACAAGGGCACCATATATGAACCATTGTTTATTACTTGACAACAGTGACATTTTTCAGAATGACAGTACCTGCGGCTTCCCCGGGACGACAGTGACACAATCTTCACAACCTTGGACTTTCTCGTCGCCGATGAGAGGTCGTATATGCACCGCAACCTTAACACAACAATCCTCAGCTGCTGCTGCTGCTGCCGTCACCGCAACAGCTGGAGGTGAAGCAGCTGAAGCTTCCATGGGAAGCAGGAAAAGAAAACAAGGGCCACAGTTTCAAGGCACGGAATTAAGTGAAAGATGAATTGTTTTTTTCCTCAAGAAAAAATTTTCAGGACAAAGAAAGGAGGGTGAGCGAGTGAGTTTCAGACAAATGTTGAATGATGAGAGATTTTGTTGGTGGTGAGGAAAGAGAAAAAAAGAGGTGAAGGAAGAGGGGGGAAGGGTAGTTGGGGAATTAGAGGCAATGGGGCTGCCTGGACTTGACTGGGAGCACATGACAAATGACAGCAACCCCACTATCATTTTCATTTTCCCTTCACCATCACTGCAACCAAAACCGTCGGAAAATACTTCCCTCACGCACTTTCCCGTTTTGCCCTTCCTTTCACAACGGTTCTCCTTCTCCCCCTTCATCTGTCCAGTTGGCCCCCACGTATTCCCTTCTTCTGTTACCACAGGACGACGGAAACTTGAAACTAAATAATAAAATTTATATTATGTTATTAAATTAATTAATATATATAATATTATAAATTTTAAAAAATAAAAATTTAATTATTAAATAACTTAAATTTTA